CACGTCTTTTGCAGCAAAGACTTTGCTGTTGTCCTCAATGAGATTTAAATCAGAGATTTGACTTTAAACTTTTCTTCCTGCTAATTGCTTGTATTGTGTAATTTAGCTGCTGCTGTTTTCTCCTCTTCCTCTGCTATGAAAGGACCTGTGAGTTTCTCCTCACATTGTTCTGGCTGCCCTCTCCTTCGTTTCTGGTTGTCCATCCTTATTTGCTGTTTTCAGACCACATTCAGCCTTTCCATCAAATCTCAAGGGAGGGATGTATCCAGGTACTAAGCAGCCTCTAAAATTAGATGCTGCTGGTTAATGAAGATGCTAAACACTGAGAAAGGAGGAGAAGGAAAGCAGGGCAGATGACAGTGAGTGCTGTGACCGAGGTCCTGCAGTTGCTCAGTGACGTTTTAGGGCTGTAACCCAGCTCGCCCGACTTCTAATCCCTTCATGAAATCCCTGGTGAAATCCGTCAGTCCTGGCAGGGGGAACTGCTCGCTCGTGGGCCATGGGAACCAGGCTTGTTGGAAACCTTGTCGTGGTGTGACAGCGATTGCATTGGGCAGCTTCCTAAACGAGCCTGAAGAAGACGAGAAGCAGGAGGGTGCTGTTGGCAAGGATAAATGCAATTAATGGCCCGCACTTGGCAAGGCTCAGGCTACTTTTCAGCAAAGGGGTGGTGTCTGGTGAATGTACATGCAGAGCTACAAGGGGCTCCTGGTTGTTTTGTGATGACGACTCTGGCAAAGATCGATGTCCAGGCTGCTCTCTGTATACATCTCTGGCAGAAAGACTTGAATACGGTGAATAGTTGTGGGCTGAGGGAAGATGGAGAAGCTTAACCTGGCCTTAAATACAATCACTCCTGGTGATCTCCATCTCCGCTTGCTTGGGGACCATCCGTGGTGGTTTGGGAAGGCAGAGACTGGTTGACCTGGCTGGGGAAAGCCCTGGGGTCTGCAATGTTGGGAGTGAAAGCGAGGGGATTTAAAGGCTAAATTTAGCTGAGTACAGTAGGAGTTGATTTAACAGATCAATGCATTTAACAGTTTGATTGCTCCAATTTTCAAGGCTATTGAGCTTGAAAGTAAGAGAGCTCTGGGGGAAAAATAGCTGTGTTTGTGTTTTTGTTTTGGTTTTCATGTCTTTGAAATTACAATGCTCACTCTTTTAAGTTTTCCTTTAATGTCATCCTGCCTTTTGTTGAGAAGTTGCTTGTCATAAGATGTGGCCAGTATTTTATGCTTTTTCTGGGGGAAAAAAAAAAGTTACTAAAGATAGGCTGGTTTGGCAGCCTGACCAGCAGCACTCTCAGGTGTGCGGGAGCGCTGCCTGCCCCCAGGGATGATCGGGGGCCAACTGACAGCCTCTTCCTTGTTTGACATCAATCCTTTCACAATTGAAAAGACTGAAAAAATACATGTAAGCTCTGTGTCACCTCTAGAGTGTTCGTGGCATTGTGCGTGCAGGCTGGCAGCAGAGTGGGACGGGCTCCAGCTCCGAGGTGAGCCCTGGCCTGGGCCGGCTGCTGGGAATGATGCTCCTGGATCAACCTGCTCCTCGGTCAGTCCTGATGCCTTGGCAGTGGCCTTGCTTAGCCACGGGGTTCGGGGCAGCCCTGCAAGCCGTTTGGCAGTTTAGGCTGGGCTTAAAACTGTCCTCCCTGAGAGTGGAGCGCTGCTGGGTGTTTTTTCAGTGGTAGATCCAGCTCAGCAGAAAGCTTACTGGCAAACCAGGCTGCACCAAACTGTTTCCCCAGCAATCGCCCCCCTGTTGCAGGTTATGTGTTTGTCCTAACATCCAGCCTGCTGATGAGGGTCCTACCTGTGCTCCCGAGGCCGCAGTGCCAAATGACCCAGTTACGATGCACTAGCCTCTTCACGAGTCCCTTGGATGGGATTAAAATCAGGCTCTTTCTCTACAGAGGATCCACTCGGGTTTCTGAGATTTGCTGTGCCCGTTGCGTGTGTTTGTAGTGCTGCAGGTCTGCTCGGGGTGGAGGAAAGATGAGTTGCAGCTTACGTGAATGAAGCAGATTTGCAGAGATGGGGCTGGGGCCAGGACGAGGGTTGTACCCGGGTCGGGGAGGGGTAACGGGGCGTTTTACAGAAGGGTCCCGGCCGTGGTGATGTGTCTGCCTCAGCCCGTGCTGGCTGGGTCCAGTGGCCACGTGTAGAGGAGCCCAGTGCCTGTTCGGGGCCGTCCCGTTGCGGGCGGGCGGTGGGGCCGGTGCTCCCGCCGTGTCTGCGCGCCGCTCTGCCGCCTGAACCCGGCTCCTGACAGGTCCCGTCTGCAGGTGGGCTGTGAGCTCGCCGGCTCTCAAAGGCGTTGGGGGTCTGGGCGTCCCCCTGGGAGCTGCCCCACAAAGGGACCCGGGAGGGGAAGAATTGGGAGGGGGCATAGGTTCCCGTGGGAGCTGGACGGGAGACACCACGTCCAGCACGCAGGGATGGGCTTTCCAGCCTCCTGGGGGTCGCTCCTGGTGTGTTCCCCCTCCTTCCTCCCAGACAACACCCCCCCTCCCCGCCCCAAACATCAGGCAGTTATTTTCCATTTACTTCTACCTCCTCCTCCCCCCAGCCTCAATCACCAAGCAGCAAAACCGAAGAACCTGGGGCGCTGCCTTTTCCCAGCCCGCATCAGCCATCCTAACGCATGCCAAGGGGTGCTCTGGGGGTGCCGCGGCCCCTCGCCTGCCCCACGGGAGGATGGCTTTGCCCCCACGGCACAGAGCTGCCCATCAAGGAGCCGCCCGGGCTGAGCCCAGCTCTGCTCACCCGCCAGGTAAGCACTGTGGGAAGCGCTGGCTTTTACTTTTAAATCAGTTATACAGAGGGTTATTGGGCTTCAATCAAAGCCTCATTATACGTGGGGTTTTATCATGCTGCTCTGACCCTTTTCCTCTCCTGGACTTGAGAGCAGGAGCCCAGGCCTCCCCCAGCCCCAGCATTGCTGAGCAGGTTTCCTTTCCCTTCCCGCAGCAGACGGGGCCACTTTTACCTGCAACGATCCATCATGGCAAAGCCAGGGATTTACCGGCCCTCGCTAACCCAGCGTTGCTCCAAAATTCCTTCCCCTTCCTCCCTCCCCCCGACTCCAGCGCAGGGTAAAATTGATCAGTGCATATTTATTGATGGTTTGAACACTCAAAAGAAAGGAAGGAAAAATTAAAAAAAAAAAAAACAAACCACAAACCAGAAGAGACGTTGCCATAGAAACATCAATAAAGCTCCCATCTCCACTGCGTGACGCGAGCTCTGTGCCCGCATCCCCCGAACCGGCGGCCTTTGGTGGGGTGGGAGTCGAGAGGGATCGGAGGTGGGTTTGGGGGTGCCCAGGGTGGGGGGGGGGGGCTGCTCGGGCTCAGCCGCCGGCTTCGCTGGTCGCTGCCGTGGTCCGGGATGGCTGCTGCAGCAGAGATGCAGGGGAAGGAAAATGCCCTTCCTCTCCTTCCTCTCCTTCGCCCTCTCAGCCGTCCTCGTGCGAGGGCCAAATCCGGGCATCACCCGGATCCCTGCAGCGCTGGAGTCCCTCCAGTTCTGCGCCCGTGGGGTTGTGACCCACACGTGGCTCCCCGGAGGAGCCTGCTCCTGGGCCTCCATCACTCCTCCCCAGACCTGCTGCCCCACAGCTGGTGTTTTCTTGCAGATTCCAGCTCGCCACCTTCAGTTCCCCACCGCTCCCGATGCAAGAACAACTCCTACCGGCCCCAGCAGCACTGTATTAAGTGGTCTGTCTGTTTGATGGATATTACAATGCACCTCTTGGAGCCTGACGATTTTTTTTTTTTTTTTTTTCCCCTCCCTTTAACCAAGTCCTGCCACGGTCTTTGATTTTGAGAGTGCAATTTAGCACTTGCAAATCATTGCCCTGCTTCATTTTTGTGCCTGCAATGAAATATTAGCAGTCGTTAGGTGTCTAACTTGCAGTTAGTGCCTGCAAGCCAGGTAGTTAGACCTCTGATTACTAATATCTCTGCCTGCAGTGGCAGGCACAAAAGCAAACGTCATTGTTGGCATTGGCAGAGCTAAATCTGCCCAGAGGAGGAGAAGGCAGGCGCTGAAGAGTAGGGCTTGTCCTTCCCAGCCGTGGCTGTCCTGGGTTTCAGGGTGAGCGATTCCCCGAGCTGCACCATTGGCAGCGCAGGGGACGAGAGCGGGAAGACACCGAGCACCCGTTGGTGGTCCCAGGTGGGTGCAGGGGTCCTCGTTTCAGCCCCTCTGCACCCAAGTTTCTGCAGCGGCTACAGCTGGGAATAGGTGTCGATGAGGCCAGGAGGATGTCAGGAAGGGCCAGGCTTTCTGGCAAGCACTGGGGTGATGTGACAAGGACACTGAAGGTCAGTCATTGCCATCTCACCCTTGCAAAGACTCTGGTGGCACCTGAGGACGGGTCTCGGGGTCGGGGCGTCAGCAGGGCGGTGGGACTGCAGCAGGACTGGCGATGCCAGGGCAGGTTTCCATACTTACACCAGGGATTTCTAAGGACAAGGTTTTCTTGAACGCCGCTGCTCTGTCCTGGTTTGCACACACTCTTGTAAGGGGCATCTTGACACTAAGCAGAATTTGCTGCCGGAGGGACTTTTCTTTAATAGGCAGGAGAGCAGCGACTCTGTGGAGAGCTCTGAGGGACCTTCTCCACGCCGGCCCTGCCCTGGCTGGCAGCTACGAGCAGTCCCCGGGGGACTGTCACCACCAGGACCAGCCCGCTGTAACCCTCCAGCCCAGCTCCCTCCAGCCTCGCCGCCTCTGCCGTGTCCCAGCGTGGCAGCCCCGCTCTCTGCCTGCGCTGCGGCGCTGGGACCCGGCGCTGAGCCCTTTCCCTGTGCCCCAGCAAAGGCCGTGTGTGACTGGGGAAGGGACACGGTGGCTTCTTTTTTAAGGCACCCTCCTCTTCTTCCATTGCATCAGCTGGGAACGGGGACATGAGGTCCGGAGCAGGGCTGGAAGTGGAGCAAAAGCGGCATCCCCCCCCCTCCCCAAGGATATCCCAGCAGCAAACCCCCCCAATACCCTTTTGTCAGAGCAAACCTAGGTGAGATGGAAGGGAAGGATGGGATGGGGCGACCCGCAGGAGCTGGGGGATTGAGTCCAGGCCTTCATCTCCCAAAGCGGAAGGTGAAGCCCCCTTTTTTCCTGTTGTAGCCGTTGAGCTCCTCGGCCAGGTTCCCCAGCGTGCCGCTGCGCTTCTCCCCTCCCGCCGGCAGCAGCCCGGAGCCCCCCTGCCTGCCCAGCCGCTGCCCGGCCCCCTCCTTGCCGTAGCCCCGCAGCTCCCGGGCGATGCCCAGCAGCGTGCTCAGCTCCTCGCTTCGCCTCCGCTTCGCTCCTGCCCTCCAGCCGGCACCCCAGCCCTCGGCCGCCGCTTGCCAGCTGGGCTCGAGCGAGGTCCCTTTCCCGGGGTCTGCTGGCTCCTGCCGCTCGCTGGGGGGGAAGCAGGCCCCCAGGCTCAGGAGGAAGAGGCAGGACAGCGAGTAGGGTGCTCTCATCTGGGGGAAGCACAGGAACGGAAAGAGATGTCGGTAAGCCACAGAGCATCCTCGGGCAGCGGCTACAGCGGCAGCAAGGGCCGCCCTCGGCTGTAGCACGTGTTCCTCAGCACCCCCAAACCAGCCCCGCACCCTCGGTGCCAGCTCCTGGCTGCAGTGGGGGGACCGGGGGGTGGTGGTGGTGGGTGTCCGAGCTCGCCCTGCCGCTTTCAGCCCGGCTCCCCTTCCTCTTCAGCAACTCCATGCTCACAAATTACAGCCTTGCAGCTCCTCCCCTGGTTCGCAGCCAAGAGCTGGGCTCTGTTTCGTGGGGCTGGCTGATGGGCTCCGGAGCAGCCTGCTCCTCTTAGAGGCACTGCAGGGAGGACTTAAGTGCATTCACCTGAGCCGGCCTTATCTTCCCAATGCGCAGGTCCTACCTGCAGTGCCTGGTTAATGCGAGTGCGGAGGAAGGTGCTCGACATCCCTCTGCTTTATGGGGCTCGGAGGTGCCCCGGCGGCAGCAGGGTCTGCTGAGCAGAGCGGGAGGGAGCGCGGTCCTGGGCTGCGGGCAGCAACGCCGCAGGCACCCGGGGTGACCTTGAGCACAGGCAGGGCTGCTCTGCCTCCCCTTCCTCCTCCTGCAAAGGCTCAGAAAGAAAAAATGGATTTTTGAAATTATTATTTTTTCTTTTGGCTGCAGATGTTGTCTTAAAAGTCACTGCAGGGGACGGGGGCCTGTCTTGCAGGGTGGGGTGCTCCTTGCTTCTGTGCCAGACCCAGCTGAGCCCCAGCCCTTGTCCACCCTCCCCAGCACACCCCTGCCTGGGGGCTTCACTTTGGGGTGCTCCCTGCTTCATTCACTCCTCGCCGCTGCTCTGCGCTCTCCCCTTTTTGCACCCAGTTGCCCATCGTGGAGCCAAATCTCTGGGTGCAGCCAGAGCAGGGGGGGGGAGCACCTTCCCCGCACCAGCACTGGGTGCTGCTGAGTCCCATTCCGGGGGCTTTGGGGTGCTGGTGGGTGCCTCCAGCTGCCTCCCACCAGCCTCCTCTCTGGCTGTGCTGCCTGCGGAGACACGGTGCAAAGCAGACGCGCGGGGGAAGACAGACAGACAGACAGACGGACGGATGGGCAGACGGCTGCCAGTGACTCACCTCTCCACCTCGGGCGATGCCCCAGCGCTGCGTGCCCTGGCCCTGCTCCGTGTCTCCCCGTGCCCGGACTGTGCCGGCCAACCCGCCTTACCTGCCATTAAATACCCGCTGGCGCTAATTGCCGTGTCACCCCTCGAGCGCGGGGCCGGCTCGCGGGGCTGTGGCTGCACAGAGCAGAGGCTGGGAGGGGGCTGGGGGGGGGGCTGGCCGAGCCACCACAATGGGAGCGCGGCACCGCCACTAATTAACGCGTCTCCTTCGTTTGCCGCCTCGTTGGGTGGAGAGGCTGGTTGCTGGAGCTGGCCTTGAATTGCCGGCGGTTGGCGGGGGTGCTGGGGGAAGGGGGGGGGGGTCTCATCTCAGGGCACGAATGTCCCCCACCCCCCGTTGGTGGGTGCGTATTTATGTGAGGCTATTGGGGGTCCCAGAGGTGCGTGCAGGTGTGGTGGGTGCACAGGTGGAGACCCCTGCACCCCCAAACCCACTCAGGGACAAACCTGAGTGCTTCCCCCGTCCTTGGCCGGTGCAGGCACCCACCGGAGCTAAAGCATGGTCCCCAACGACTGGCACTCAGCTGTCCCCTCCCGGGTCCTCGGGCAGAGAGGGGTGCAGGGTGGGCAGCACCCCCTTGCTCAGCGGGAAGGGGCCAGGGGCACCGCTCAGCGCTCTGTCTGTCCGCACCGGCACAGGGGAGCGGGTCCCCTCGGCACCGACCCCCCTGTCCCAGCCCCAGGACGGTGCCTGGGTTTGGGCTGGAGCCCCGGGGAGCCTCCGCTGCCCCGTCCCTGTCCCGCCGGGCCTCCCCCAGCCCTCCCCAGTAGCTTTGCAGAGTGGTCGGAGCGGGCTGAGCCTGTGACGGGCCGGTTCCCCGGGGACGCCGTGCCCCGAGCTGCGGCAATCCGGTGCCGCTCCCTTTGCCCTCACCACGGCAGGTTCCTCTGGCGACGTCCCCGCGCCGCGCCGTGGGCACGGCCACCCGCACGCCAGCCAACGATGAAGTTCCTTTTATTAAGGAGTTTAGAAAGTCCACATGTACAGCGTTGGACACCACTCACACACGACCTAGACTTCACGGCACTGCTACACAGCACGACCCAGCCCAGGGCTTCGCCGGGAAGGTACGTGGCCAGGTCCCGGACCCCCCCAGCCGTCCCTTCCCACCCCTCTCCAGAGGTGTCACCACGGACGGGTTGAGCCTAATCTGGGGCCACGGAGAGATGCGTGCGCTCTCGGGAATAATCCTGGGAAATCCTGCATCTCGGCATGGATTAAATACCTCTCACGCATGCCAAAACCAAGTCATTAGGGAGTCCTGGGTGACACGGGCAGTTACACAAGGGTGTGCTACTGACAAGTGTCCCCTCCCCAGCACGGGAAAAACACCAGTGAAGGGATCCAGGGAGGGGACGAGCCTTCCCGCCTGGGGCATGTGGCTCCATGTGCCTTCTTGTCCTGGAGGTGAGTGCTAGAAAACTCAGCCACAGCTAATCCACTGAAATAAATGAACAAAAAGTAAAGACAGGCGTCGTGCTCCCTGCCTGCATGGGACCCTTTCCAGAGGGGTTTGGTGGGACACTGAAAGCCCCTCGGGAGCTGCCAGGGGCTCCTGTTCTTGTGCTGGCTGGGAAATGCCACCGCCGAGCTCCCCTAAATCCCATCACTTGAAAAATGCAGCCTGGCCAGCTGCTCTGGGCAGGGATGGAGCTGGTAGAGCTGGTGCCTGTGCTCGGAGCCCATCCTCACCCGAGGGCTCTGAGGAATGTCTCTGGCAGTGGGGAAAGCTGCGGTGATTCCTGATGCGTTTTTTGTCCTCGCTTCCCCAGCAGGACAGACGGACAGGGACTCACCCAGCACACAAAAGGGCGCATCCTGCACAGGGTCCAAGGTGGGGCAGGCTTAAAAAAAGGAGAAGCACACAGGGAAGTAAAATCTGCCACAGCCAGCAAGATGAGCCTTTGATCTCCCCATGCCTTAAGCCTCCTGGAAACGGGGATGGCAGGAGCTTTCCTCCCCTCCTTGGGCAGTCTGTCTATCCAACGGTGTTTCTTGGGGCCAGGGCCTGGCGCGGGGACTCTGCTCCCCACTGCTGCTGTAGCACAGGCAGAAAATCATATAAAGGGTGGCAGCGTCCAGGCTGTCCCCCTCCCTGTTTCTACACATCCCACTCGGGCTCGGTTTGGGTTTTTTTTTGGACAAAATCCCTCATTTGAGTCCTTCAAGGGAGCTACAGGGAGAGGTCAGCCCCACGCCCCGGTGGCAGCTCGTCCTTCGTTCGGCTGGCACGAGGCATCGCCTGCTGCCCAGTTATCTGGGCCCTGCAGATGCTAAGCCCCACTCGGGGCTTCTTTTTGCAAAACCTTAATGGGATTTGAAGAAATGAAAGGCTTTGAATATCTGCAGGTGTCGAGCCAGAGTGCAGCTCATCCCAAGTGAAGATGCATGCGGGTCCCCAGGCTGGGAGCGAGCGGAGGGCGCTCGCTTGGGGGCACGCGGGTGTGCTGTCCAAAGCCCAGGATTTTGGGAAAAGTCCGATGTGAATCTGAGTGGGTCTGTTTGGGAGGGAGGAGATGGGAAATGCAGGCAGAGCTGTACCAGGAAGCGAGCCTTCCTCACCTCCTCCTCCTCCTTGCTGTGCTCCCCCTTTCCCCAGCGTTGCCAAAACAGCTCCGTACCGTGCTCAGTTCTGGGGGGGGGGTGTTTTTGCAGCACCGCGTCGGCTTGCTTTGGGGTGTCTCAACCTCCCGGGAGGCTCCAGGAGCCAGGACAGGGACAACGGGGATAAATGATTTTATAGTTGTCTCTTTCCAGCTGCATTGCTCTTGCAGGGGGAGAGGCGAGATTTCTGCAGACCGGAGAAGGAATTGCTTGCAAGGTCAGGGGTCTGCATGGGCTGCAACCAGCCGAGCCCTCCCCATCCCCAGGAGCACCACGGGGTGAGCCAGAACCGTGGAGCAGCAGCCCCATCCCTGTCCCAGGGGCTCTGCAAAGCTCGGGGGGGGCGGGTCCCACAGCAAGTGTCCCCCAGTCCCTTGACAGCTTGGCCAGGCTGCTGCTGGGTGTCTGTGCCCAAAGCAGAGGTGAGCGAAGGTGCTCAGCCTGCCCGGGCTGCTGCATCCCTGCCTCCCTCCCTCTCTCCAGGCAGTCCCTTCTCCTCCTTGCTGGACCCCACTGGGCTCCCCAAATCCCCTCATTCTGCTGCCCTCTCTGCCGCAGCCATAAGCACCAGCCGTGGGTCACGCTCTGGCCAGGAGACCTGTTTTGGCTGCAGGGGAGCCACGGCAGTAGGAAGCGAAGGTCCAGTGACGTCCATGGGTGCCCAGGAGCTAAAGTCACCCTCGCCAGGGGCAAGTGCTCCTCAGGGGCCCCTCAAAGATAGGCCAGCCCTCGGGGAGGATGAGGAGGATGGCAGCTGGGGGGTGGTGGGGAAGAGCGGGGGGCTGGGCACAGGATGTGGAGGGGGTGCTCATGCCATCCAGCTAATTCTCCTCTCGGACAGGCCGGATCTTCATCTCGGTGAACTTGAGGGAGTACTGCCAGCCGGTCCAGGAGGACCACTCGATGCCATCAGCGTAGGAGCTGTGGTGGCCCTTGAGGTACTGCCCGTTGAGGTTGGAGGTGTGGCAGTTGCGGTACCACCAAGCGCCGTGGTAGAAAGCTGCGCAGTTGTTCTCCGAGTGGTCGTTGTCCAGGTCCTTGGTGGTGAACTTCATCCCGTTGTGCTTCAGGAAGGAGTCGCCTGCCGCCGGGGGGGGGGGGGGGTGAAAGGAGCCGTGATGGGCCCTTCCTGCCCCTCACCCTGCCCTCGGGCTGTCTCCCACCCCGGGGGGGCTCCCCCGGGGCACCCCAATGGGGCTCCTTTGGTGATATACAGAGCACTTGGGGTCACCCACCCGACAAACACCCAACCCCGGCCCCTCTCCTGCCTCCAGCTCCAGGCTGCAGGGGCGCAGCCGGCACTGCCGCCAGCACCAGAGGAGACCACTAACACCCCAACAAGGGGGTTTGGTGGCCGTGGGCTCCCCCAGCCCCGTGGGCACCCCCCGCCCCACCGCCCTACCTGCCGTCCCCGAGTAGTCGGCGACGGAGACAGGGTACCCGTCCTCCTCGGGGTCGACGGAGAAGAGCCCCACGCCGAAGCTGCCGTAGTGGGCGAAGGCGGTGCCGTTGTCGAAGTCCTCCAGGTCGATGCGGAGCTCGTAGCTGCCCTGCACCGTCAGCACGTGGATCCGCTTCAGCCCTGCGGCGGAGGGAGGGGGTGAGTGCGGGGACCCCGGCAGGGACGGGGTGGCCGGGGGTGGGGGTCCCTGGGGAGGGGTTCCCACCCTCCAGCCCTCGCTCTGGTATTGCCACACGGCCTAGGGCAGTTTGTGGGCAAACAGCCCCATCGCTTCCCTGCCCCTGTGCAGCCACACGGTCCCCTCCTCGCCTGCCCAAGCCGTCATTCCTAAGGCGCGAGTGCTGGCCAGGGGGGTCTTTGTGTCCCTTCCTTTGCTAAGGAAACCCCACACCTCCCCAGGGGGGGCTGGGGGGGTCCCAGGCTTTGCCAGCCTGCCCGGTAGCGAGCACTGCCAGCCCCACGCACCTAACCAGTGCTCTCCTGTCAGCTTCCCGAAGCCGTCCCGGTAGGCTTCCCAGCCGCGGAAAAAGTTCACGGAGCCGTCCTCCCGCCGCTGAAACACCTGGAGAGACACGCAGGGTGTCAGTCGGGGGGGGGGCTGCTCCGAGCCTGCACACCCCGAGCTGCCCCCCTCCTCCCCCCCGTGCTGCCTGCCCCTACCCACTGCCGCCCTATTAGACATGGGCGCAAATTAAACCCTTTCAACTCAGTAATTAGACAGGGATGTTGGTGAGCAGGTCCCCAGGGAAATGCTGGATCATTATCTGCCGGCTCCCAGGGATGGGTGAGCCGGGTCAGATAAAATCTTTCACCAGCTCCTCCACCTGGAAATGGAATCAGAGCTTGGGAAACGCACATTGTGCTCCTGCGGGGAGGTGGCTGGTGTACCCGGGAGGAGTGGGCACCCTGCCCCCGGCTTGAAACAGCCCGTTGCATGTGGGAGCAGAGGTATGGACAGGTGGGCGGGTGGACAGACAGACGGCATGACTCGAGGTGCTGCCCTGGTCATTCCAAGCCATCCTGCAAACAGTGGGATGCTCGGAACTGTGTAAAACCAAGCAGCTGATTTTCCCCTCCCCGAGTCCCTGCTCTCTCCCAGGCAGCCGCCCCATTATCAGGCATTGTTCCTGTGATGGCCTCGTTAGTCAGCCCAGAGAAATTAACTGTGGGGCACCCACTTCCCTGACCCTGCCAGAGCCCCCAGAAACCCGGCCAGATTGCTGGGGCTCAGCACAGCTTTTCTCCTCAGAGCCTTTCCCTTTTCCTCTCCCATCTGCCCATCGGCATGTCGTGCCCTGTGTGTTTCATCCCCTTTTATCCGTAGTTTTGGGTTTGATTTATTGACAACAATCCAGAAAATACTGCTCTGTGTCCGATCATTTGAACTTAATTAAGCCTCCAGCCCTGGATTAATTGCATTAAACTTGGCTGAGCCAGTCTGCCCAGTTGCCACCAAGCGCCACCCTCCCGTGGCGGGGGGGGGGGGGGGACGGGGCGCTCGGTGATTTAGGAACAGCCGCCCCGTGCGCCGGCAGCCAAGGGGCCAGAGCACCCTGTTTTCGGGGCTGGGCTGTGCCGCTGAGCCCATTCACCCCAATTCCAGTACCCCAATTGCTCGGGCAATGCCACCGAGCCCCCCCGCCGGCTGGGAAGCCGCCGTGCCTCGCCCCACGGTGGGGATGCTTCTTCCCAGCCTCCCCCCGGTTGCCCCCACCCCACTGCACGTCAGGGCTTTCATCCCAGCATGTGGAGGAGACCCAGCTTGTGAGCTTCACGCTGGTTTCTCCTTCACCAGACAGGCATCTTCAGGGCTGTGGGTGCCCAGTGCAGGCTCTGGCGCGCTCCTTGGCATGGCATGGCTCTGATCCTGCTGTACTTACCTTCTAGAATTAGCGCCGTAATTTTTATCCCTGCATTGAGCACTTGAGAAGCTGCGGTTAAGCCCATTTAAAGGGGCTTTCTTTGGGCTTGCTGGGAAAGGGGGATGGATGGTGAGGCTGGACGGGGGCCCGAAGCTGATTTTCCCCAGCCAATGTCGGCTCCGGTGCTGCTGCGCAGGGAAGGCGGCGGAGGCAGCGCCGATGCTCCCCTCTAATCGGCTTTGACCCACGGTTTTAAATAGGCCAATGGCCTGAGAGGTGCCCAGGGAAGCGTGTGGGGCACGTCTCCATCAGCTGAACCTTGGCACGGCTGGGCAACCACCTCGGGCACCAGAGCAGCCCTCGGTGCCCCACTGCCTGTCGGGCTCAGCCCCAAGGGGCTGGAAACTGGGTTGGGAGGGCTGGTGGGTGCCGGAGGTCCTGTGTCCTCCTGGGTCTCCCGCTCCATCCTCATCATCTCTTGTGCACGGTCCCTTCTTGCACTTCACGCGTGCACCTGCCTCTCCCGCATGCAGGTGGGGATGTGGGACCCTCCTCCTCGCCCCCCCACCCCACGCTGGGATGCTGCGGGCACTGGGATGCTGTAATACCAGTGACCTGCAGGCTCACCGCGCACTCCCAGCCCTGCCTCTCTGCTCTTTTCCTTCTCATCAAATATGCATCACACCCTCTTAAGCAAAAAGGATTTCCTTCCCTTCTTTTAAGGCAAGGCTGAAATATTTATCTCCCCCGCTCTCTGCCTCCCCCGGTCACGCTGAGCTCACGGGGCAGGGACAGGCTCCTGCAAAGGCACTAACCCAGAAAAACGGGTTAAAAAAAGAGAAAAGCAGGAGTGCCAGCCTGTGCCTGCCATGGCGTTGGCGGTGAGGGAGGGCTCCGCTCCTTCTCCCCTCAACCCCCTGATGCCAGCCCCCACCAAACCCTCATCAGGCTCGAAACCCCACCACATCCGCAGCCTGGGGCGAGGGTTGGCCATCACGTTTCTGCCACCGCAGCGGTTGAGCTCCCGGTCAGGATTTCGGCAGCCGTGGCACGGCCCCTGCAGCCCCAGCTCACAGCGGGGAGACCGTCTTCGGGTTCAGACACGGAGAAGGCAAACTCGGAGCATCCCAAGAGCCGGTCCCCTGTGACAGCCTGCGAACGCCACAGCCAGCAGCGCTGCCCGTCCCGGGGACCCGGCTACTCCTGCCTGTCCCTGCCAGCGGAACTGTCTAATCCCATTCATGGCTACACAGAAATCACATCTTTTGGAACCAGCGTGTGTTTCCCCAGGCTCATTTCACCCGCTGCCTTCGGCTTACCCCAGCTCATATGTAAATGCATCAGTGTCGGCTCAACCCCCCCGGCCCGCTCCGGGAGCCCTCCGGCGAGTGATGAGCGGGCTGGGCAAAGCCATCCCTGCAGGTGCCTGTGGAGCTGGAAGCTGTCACTTATCATCACCACAGCCCTCGTCCTGCTGGCACAGCCTTTTCTCCTGCATCCTTTGGCTTTCCCACCACTTCCCAATACACGCTGTACATGGAAAATGATGCTGAGGCAGCTGGAATCATCGCAGCACCATTGCTTATGGGGCTGAGATGCTGATCCCGGGGGGCTCTGCCCCAGCTGGGCAGTGATGGAGCATTTGCAAAAACAGCACATGAAGAGGCAACTTTTTCAGGCCTCCCAGGATGCTGAGCCTCCCCTGCCTTCTGTCACCCCATTATTACTTTAATAAAGTGCCAGGGGTGAGTGTCAAAGGGGGGACTCGGGGTCAGGCTGGGTAATTACACAGCTGCAGCCTCGTGCTGCAGTGAGGCTCGGGTCAATTTGGGGAATCGCTGCAACTGAAGTTGGTGCTGAGTGCAGGACATGGATGCTCCCACGGGCACCGGTGGGCACCGACCCGGACCCACGCCCCAGCCAGCTGAGACCGTGGCCCCGCTGCCGGTGGGCAGGACCAAAAGGGGGACAAAACGGACTGGGAGGATTTGCTGGGGGCTCCCCAGCTCTTCCCTCCCACATTTCTTCACCTTCGTGTCACCCTGCCTTGCCTGGATGCCGATGGTGGCTGCCCTTTCTGCCAGGTTTCTGTTATTTGATTGTGCAAAACAGGCAGCAAACAACCCCAGAGCTGCAATCGCTTGCACAGCGTGGGGGACTTCTGCAGCCCCGGGCTGGATGCGGCCATCGCGGGGAGCAGGAGAGGCGTTGTGCCTCGCTCAGCCTTCCCGTTGAAGGGAATGGGGAACAACCAGGGACCCTGCCTCTGGTGAGGGGACAGGGTGGCACTGCATATCACGCCATGGGGAAAGGAAGGTGCTGAGCAGCACCCAGTGGGCGACGCCAGCTGGATTTCTCCCTGAGGGGGCATCGGGACGGCTCCCCCTGCCCCGCTCCCCGCGGGCTCTAAGCCGTCCATGCAGGCTAAGGCTTAGCTCAGCAGCTCCCAAGCTCCCGAGTCGAAATTGATTCAGCTGCTGCCGTCGTTTCCACCCACCCACCCACATGCAAATAAGCCCAAATGTCAGGAGTAATCGCTCCAGAGGAGGAGGAGGAGGAGGGGAGGGAAATTTCTCAGGCTCTGTACCATGGTGCCCAGCCGTGCCATGGCTTACCTGGAGCCTGGGTGAGCCAGTGCCCCAAGGACCCCACACACACACATTCCCAACCCCACGGGAGACGGCTGAGACACCTCCTGCACCCCAAGGGAATGGAGGTATGTTTGGGAGCCTCTGCTGCAAAGCATCCCTGAGAAATGGGAGCCTGGGGCGAGCACCCTCAGCCCCGCTCTGGATGCGGCCATCTCCGCGACACTGGGATTCGGCCCCCAGTTTGGTTCCCCTGCCCCGGCCGAGGCAGCGCCGTGCCAGCCCCGCTGCCAGATCCCACCATGCTGCTGGGTGTAAAACCATTTACTTTGCCCCCTCCCCAGCCCCACCGGAGCCCTCTCAGCTGCAGCAGCTTTAAATAAGCCTCTGAGTGTCTCTCTAATCACCTCGGGCTGCTCTTCAGGCAGCGCTTGAGCACGGCTGAGGCTGGTGGAGACTGTGCGCGGGGTTTGCAAGGACCCTCCTCACCCTGGGGAGCCAGTGGGGGTTCCCTCTTTTCCCTCTGTGAGCCCCCCAGGAGCTGGGGTCCCTCGTGCTGGGATGTGCCTCAGTTTCCCCACTGGAGCTGCTGGTACCAGCCTGTGCATGATGGATCACTCCCGCCCAGAGTGGGCTCTGGGCAGACTGAGGCCAAAGGCTCATCAGCCCCCCGAGGGCAGGGGGGCTAAGCTCCCTCCTGGCACTGCTCAAAGCTGCTTAGGGGAATCAGATCGTGGGGATTTGTTTCCTAGAGCGCCCAGCTGGAGGGGTGCTGGCTGGCTCAGCCCACCCAGCGTGTCCTGGGGGGAGAGGCTGCATGACCACCCCTCCTGGTGAGCCCCCCGCCACCTCCCTGGGGCCCCCTCGACGCCCTGCCAGCACCCCGAGCGATGCCCTCCTGGGTAGGGGCTGCCTGCACCCAAGGGGTCCCTGAGGCAAGGAGCCTGGGGGTGTGTGTGTGTGTGTGTCTCCAGGCTTGGGGCTGCCAGCGCCGCGTCCCCCCGTCCCCCCCTGCTCCCTGTCCCCGTTACTGTGATTACGGAGCCGCCACAGCAAAGCGAATCGGACAGGGCAGCCGAGGAGCGAGTGAATCAGCGCGGCACTGGAGGTGCCCCGGGCACCCCTGCGTTAGATGAGGTGAAACGTGCTGGGTTTGGGGTTCATCCCGAGCCCCAGCACCAGCTCACCGGGACCACGAGGATAGGGCTAAGCACAGCCATTCCACCCCGTGGCACAAACGCGGCCACGCCGTGCCCTGGCTGGGCGCCAGCCCTGCTGAGAAGGAAAAACTCCGGCCGTGGCATCCAACTCCCTGCCCGAAACAGCCTCCAGCCAAACTTCCCAAGCCCGGGGCAGAGCCACCAGCGTCCTGTCCAGGGCTCAGGCCGGTAACACTGGGCAAGACAAAGCTGCTGCTTATTTCCCCACAGGACCGGGCACCCTGTGCACAGCCAGACCCCGTTAGCATTCATCCCCCCCACCCCAACGACACATCCAAGCGCCGAGAGTGACATCTCCCACCCCCGGCATCCCAGCACGGGGACAGCCCGTGACCAGCAGTGGCATCACCCAGTGGCACCCAGTATGGCAGCAGCTCACCGTCCAGCCACCCCCGTCGGTCGTCATGTCGCAGTAGACCTGGAAGCCGGAGGGATAGTGTGTGGGGAAGATGGAGTAAATCCCATCCTCTTGCTGTCCGCTCGCGTAGATGTCAAAGCAGTCTCGGGGCCGGGAGCCTGCAGCGTGGCATTTGAATGGGGTGGGACGAGAGGGAAGCTGGTTAATTAATGAACTAATTGAACGTCTTGTCATTTCTTTCAGGCTCTCAACCTTGCTGCCAGCTCTAGTTGGCGGCTTGGTGCTTCCTTGCTCTTTCCCTCTTTTCTCTTCCGACGCTCAGGGCGAGCGGTGCCCAGGGGGGATGCAGCCACCACAGGGACCCCCCTCCCGCCCCCGGCAGCTGGCAGGGACCGACCCCATGTCCCCGGGTGACAGCAAGGGCAGGCTGGGACCCAGCTGGGGAGGAGGGAGCCACTGCCTAGAGGCGGCTACAGGCAGAGTGTGGCCATGTGCTCGCAGCCCCGGGACACTCTTACTCAGCTTCATCTTGACCCAATGATGATGAATGTGACTGTTTATTCTGAGTCCCACGCAGCGCTGCTCTCTGCACCCCAGCGAAGGCGAGCGGGCCCTTCTTGCTCTGCTTTTGCCCCAGCTACGCCTGCGTGGGGAACGGGTGGGTCTGCCGGGGTGCAAAGCGATTTTTGTGCTGGCTGGTTTACAGACAACTTGGGGGCCGCACAGTGAGAAACACCCCTTCTAGGACACACCTTTCCATCTCCCTCCTGCTCCACCTCCCCCATCTCCTTGCCAGCCCCCTTGCTGTATTAAATCCCTTCTCCAGGCTGGTTTCCCCCATCTCGGGTGGTTTTCTCCCTTCTTCTTAGGCAGAAACCTGCCGAGAGCAGCCCCAAGTGCATCCCTCTCCTTGGGGACCGACGGGGACGCTGTCTCACCGTTGGAGCAGCCCCGGGGCCGCGCTCCCCTGGCCGGCGCTCGCTGCAGGTCGGCCTTGAGCCGGGGCCGGGCACCACCACGTTCCTTCTGCAGCGTGTCCAGGACGTCGCTGACGGAGCTCACCAGCCGAGCCATGTTGGTCTGGCTCTCCGAGAGCAGCTGTGGGCAGGGGACAAGAAAGGGGAACAAGGAATTGTGGTTAAATGAAACCCTCCCACACCCCAGCCCCTTGACCACCTTGCCATGAGGATGCTCTTCCCCACTCCCACGGTTCCCCAAGTGCCTGCGGGCAGCAACGCTCCCTGCCAGGCTATGGGCTGGTGGGGACCAGGTGGGGACATAAAAGCCACAGCAGATCCCATATGGCATTTCCAGTGCTTTTTGGCCCAGGGTCAAGGTGAAGATAGCGCCTATTTCCACCAGAGCAAAGAAATCCCCAAACTTGGGTGCACTGGTGCCGCCACCCCCTTGGGATAGAGAGCATCTCTGGGCAAGGGACAGGATCGTGCAGGCAGCAGGAACAGCCACGTCCTGAGACAGCTGCTGGGTCTCCATCGTCCCTCGAGGCGACCCAGGCCAGGCAAGTGACATGGGGTGGCTGTGGCAGAGCAGCAGGATGGGGAGCGAAGCAAAACAGCAGGGATCGAGCAGCTCCATCCGGAGGGAGATGAACACCAGGAGGGATGGGCTGAGAGCTGAGCAGCCAGCCGTGCCCTGGGTCTTGCTGCAACGTCTGGCAGAACCCCGGCATACCCAGGCAAACGTTTCAACACGGCTCATTGACTGGGAAATTCTGGGGACTGTAAATAAGGGGGAGCTGATGGCTGCATGAATCGCCCTTGGGATGGTCCTGTGCTGTGCTGGGCTCTCTCGGAGCCCCCAGACTAGACCCGGACCTGGGAGACTTGTAACGTGGGAGGCTGCACACCCAGCTCACTGGTACCGGGACGGTTTGGCAGTGAGACGCAGGCAGCTGCTGAGCTGGAGCTGAAGTTGTGCTTCCTAACTTGCAATTCCCAAGCACCCACTTTGAGCCTCAGCTCCTTCTGCTGGAGGTCTCCCCTGGGCGGGCAGGGGCTGCAAGCAGCCATGCCCCTGGGGCCACGGGAACAGGGCTGGGGGCTGTCCCCAAGGAGCACCGTGCCACGCTCCCAGCCCCAGCTCACCTGGATGAGCCTGCCCTGCTCTCCCTGCAAGGCGCTGAGCTCCTGCCCCATGGCGCTGTGCCCCTTCTTGAGGCCGTCGCAGTCGGCGCGCAGCTGCACGGCGTGGGTCAGCAGCTTGGCCACCTCATCCGCCACCGTGACCAGCAGGGCTTTCTGCTGGCTCTTGGTGGCCTTGGCCTCGGCGTCGTGGTCGGTGACGGCGCGCAGCAGGGAGGTCTGCAGCCCCTCCAGGCGCCCGAAGGTGCCCGCCGCGTCGGGGCAGTTGGGGTCGATGAAGATGTTGATGCGGGAGCTGTCGGCTTTCTCGATGGTGACGAGCGCGTTGGCTTCCTCAGGGTTGGTGCTGATGACGGGGGGCGACTCGGTGACGGGCGTGTGGTAGTGGTTCATGAAGAGGATGGCCCCCGTGACCGTCACCGCCAGGAGGACGGCCACCGAGAGCAGGACGGTGCACAGGATGTACCCGCAGCTCATCCTCTGCGGACAGAGAGACGGGCACCATTGGGACCCCAGCCCGCTCCCCTTCACCCGAGAGGTGGGTTCAAACCCTGAGGGGATGTGAGAGTTCTAGCAAACGAGGGAGGTGATGTTGGACATGGGGGTGGTGGCTGAGGAGGGGACGTGGGGACCCCAGGGAGCCCTGTGGTTCTGCCAGGGACGCGGAGGCCACGGGTGAGCGCTCAGCGAGCAAAGCAGCTAAACCCGCCTGGGAGCCAGAGGTATGAAATAATAAAGAGAGCGAACGCGCGGCGGCTGCCTGCTCTCGCTGGCATGTTTTATTTAAGGTGGCGATACTCAGCTGGAGCAGCCCTGGCTCTCCGAGAGGTGAGTGTGGGACTCCCTGCTGCCCTGGGCATGAATTTGGGAAGAAAAACGTAAAACACCCCTGTATTCCTCAGAGTGGGGACTGTGGGGAGAGCAAGGAGGTGAGGGAAGGCAGGGGCTGTCCCCAGCAGCAAGGGGAGGCTGTGGGTCGATGCTGGGGCTACATTGCCCTGAACATTGCAGGGCCCCGTCCCCCTTGCACCCTCGCTGCCTGCCAGAGGGGATCAGAGCTGCTCCCAAAGCCCTCGAACCTGTCCCGGAGCCTCCTGGAGAGGGGCAGTCGCTGCGGGAAAGGTCTCCAACCACCCCAAGCTCCCCTCAGCAGCTCCGCTGCTGCAGGGACCCGTCGGCTCAGCCCATGGGAGCTGCTCCGTGCACACCAAGAGCCTTTTCTCCTTGCAAAGCGTGAAGTGCCGGCACTGTCAGTGCAGAGGGAGCGAGCTGCCACCCGGTCTCATCAGCACCCCCCCCCCCCCCGCCATCACCTCCCCTTCTCATTACACCTGCAGGACAGAGGCTGTGATTTTCCCCTGACCCCGGTCACGGCTGTCACAAGGAATTGCAGGGCTGCCAGAAAACTGCAGATTCGGAGAGACAAAGACTACTTTCCCCAGAAACGAGGGGAAAATTGCTGCATCTGCAAAGATTTCCCAGGCCCTGTCCCCTCCTGTGCACATCTATCTGGAGTGACACCTTCCTTCAAGCACCCTTCATTTCATTCCCACTCCCGCAACCATTTGCATTAAGGTGACCCCAGCTGCGGCGAGGCTGGCTGGCCAGGGTCTGGGGGGCCATGGATACCCCATCAGCCATGGGGGGATGCTCCGAGCTTTTTCCTTAGCCCACAGAGTGAGGTTGGAGGTGCAAACAGCGCTGGGCTAAAAGGGAAGCCACCCTGCCGGGACCTCTGTAATGAGGCAGCCCCTCAGTGTGCATTAAAAAGAGATGTCGAAGGCAAAAAGGGGAGTTTTTGGCAAGCAGAGGGTCAGGGGAGTTTGCCCTGTGTTTGTAGACATGAACTCCTGGCTTGGAGGCACGGGGGACACCCGGGAGCAGCAGGATGGTGGCAGATGGAGGTGGGGGTTGCCCGTCGCTGACATCCTCGCGTGGACACCCGGGACCTGGGCTCGACCGGGCCCCTCAGCACCCTGCAAACGCCGAAGCGAAAAGAGGGACGGCTGCTGGCCAGAGGCCACCATCGGATGGTTTGGGATCTGCACGGTGAGCAGGGACCATGTCCCCGTGGCTGTCCCAGCTATCAGCTGCCCGGCTCTGCGCCCTCCCGCCCCACACGCGGCTGCTCCCCACCACACCGATGTCCCCAGGCGGCACCGTGCCCGCTGGGACACGCGGATGGGCTGTGACCACCGAGGGACCCGCCTGAGCATTAAGGGTTTCAGGAGCAGCGCCGTGCACAGGTGACACTCCGCTTCCCACAGCCACGCAAATCCCACCCGGGCTTTAACACACCAAAATCCTACAGCTCTGCCCAGGAGCTGCATCCAGCTGTTTTCCAGCTGTCGAGCCCCAGCATCGCTGCCCTCCCATCAGCACGGGGAACTGGGGGCCGGAACCTTTCGCAAGTGACCCCCCTCTGCTTGCGACCGCAAGATCCCGGGTGGTGGCAGCTTTACGGGTCCCACGGCATTTTGCTGGCAGGTTGTGTTACCTGGCAACCTGCAGTGGGGAGAGGAGGGAACGCTCAGCCAGCGGCACCAGCAACGCCCCAAACTGGGGGTGCGGGTCCCCCCCAGCACAGAAGAACTGCAGCTGCATGCCCAGCTCCTGGCACGGGGCCCTGCAGACGCCTCTGCCACAAGCTCCTGCCCCACCATGGCCACGGCCCTCGTGACTCCAGGGGTTTCTGCTGTCCCTTACGTGGGCCTTGGGATCTTCTTGCCAATGCTTTCAGGCAGCTGTAGGACATCCCCCTGCTCCGGTTATTGGTGTCCTCCTGGGGACATCCATCAGGTTGGATGTCCTCATGCCTCCAGATCACTCCTTCCTAAGGACAGCAGAAGCTGCGAGGCTGGGAGGTGCGCGGGACGAGGGGAGATTCATTTGCAAACCTGCTCTGGAGCTGGGGCTGGAGCTCGGGAGGGAGCCTCAGGCAGGAACCGAGGCACTGTTGCCTTGCCGGGGCAAAGCTGAGCCAGGCATTCTGTGCCCTGTGCTGGCTCAGGCTGTATCTCTATGCTTGGCCACTATGCCCCACGGGGACCGGGTCCTCGGTGCCCCAGCCACACTGCATGAGCCCTGCACCCTGGGGCTGTGTGGGTCCCTGCAGCCCCCGTGTCCATTATCCCCCCCCACCAAGTGTCCCCCCAGCCTCCTCAGCCCGCCGGACAGGCGAGTGGCTGTGCTGGGCAAGGGACAGGGCAGCTCTGGCACACGCAACCTGTGGGGAGGGAGGACATGAGCTGGCTTGTCCCCGGGGCAGTTGGAGCAGAGCTAGAGACGGGCTGGTCCCCGGGGGAGCGTGGATGGAGAGGGGTGGCAGGAGAGGCTGAGCTCTGCTGGGGGAGATGCTCTTTGAGGAGGAGGTGCCCTGTGATCCTGCCAAAGCCACTGCTCTTTGCCGGCTCGCCAGGCGAGCTCTGTGCTGTGGGGTGGTGGCCAGCGACCGCAGACAGCCCTGGGTGCTCCCCCCCACCCCGAGCCGTGCCCTCAGTACAAACCAGGACCCTGGTCGTGCTTCTGAGGCAGGTGGACGCTGTGTTTTGCATCACCCAGGTTCAGCTGCTGGGGCAAACTTCAGTCCAGGTAGCCCCACCTTACTGCTGGGGTCCCCCCAGCTCTGAAGCTGCCCCAGGACAGCAGAGGCCAGTCCCTTGCCCCCCCCGCCACCACCCGCCCAAGCCATTGCTCACCCCAGATCTGCTCGAGCAGCTCATTTTGCATCCCAGCCACTCTCCCTGCGCTGCCCCTGTCCCTCTCCAACCTCCCTGCCTGTCCAGCTCCGCTGCTGCTCAGCTTTGCGCAGGGGCTGCAGCCCCTGTCTCTGCTCGCCCTGGGGCAGGGGCTGTACCCCAGCCACCACCCCCCCACACACACCTGCACCCCGCTGCTCCCCGCGCCCTCCCGGAGCTTCACGCCGCACTTCGCTCACTCCCCGCCGATGAACGGAGGCAGACGAGCCGAATCCCGCTCCCGTTACCTGCTCTCCTCCGTTATCCAAAGCCTGCCCGCTGCCGCTCCCTCGGCACAGCTTTTTTTGCAGCTCGGGGAGAGGAGAGGAGAGGGCTGGCGAGCGCACCGGAGCCGGCTCCATGGGTGAGCACGCAGGCGGGCTGGGACAGGTTTCCACCGGAGCTTACGGGAGCTGGGAGCCCAGCACCGGCTGCACAGCACACTCTGTGCCTCCTTTGCAACCTCCTGCGTGAACCACCAGCTCCGGGCTGTGCTGTCCAGTCCTGTACGGGTGGTGGGGCTGGATCCATCCTGCCCAGCTCATCCTTGGGCCCGTGGGGGGGGGCACAAAGCTGGGTGGATAATGGCTCCAGCTGGACAGCACCGCTCAGACCCCTGAGTGGAGGGGCTGCGTGCCAGGGAGGCAGCTCTGCTGGGAAAGGGACAGGAGAACAAGGTTTCTCTCTAGGGGGGGGGGTGTCTGGGGCATCCTGTGCTTCTCGGGGTGGGTAGCCCCTCTCCAGCGAGGTGAGGAATCCATTCAGCATGAATGGGCTGACCAGGGCGGGGGGGGGGGGGAAGGGGGAAGAGTGCTCAAGCGAAAGGTGTGCAGAAGGGATAAATCAGGCAGAAGTCCCTTTCCTGCATCGCTGCGGGCAGAAGGGGGACAGGGAAGTGGCAGACCTGGGGGTGAGCGTGTCTCACGGCTGCTCCCCCCCATCCTCACCCAGTGCCGGGGTGCTGAGGGTGGGCAGGGACCTCCAGCTCTTGGCTCCTTCCCTTGACTCCCAGGTTCCGTCGGAGACTCGCTTTCCCTCAGATCTTCCCGGGCACGCTTGCCCCCTTACTCCTTCCCGCCCTGCCTGCACCCAGAGGGCACCCACGTGCCCCCCGGCCACCCAGCCATGCCTCCGCTTCCCTACCTGCTCCCTGGCCCTGGGCGACCAGAGGCCAGGCCGATGGCCGCTGCCCGCGCGCTGGGCCGGGGGAGCTGGCACACGTGGGGTGGGTTGTGCAAACGGGCTCCGGCACGTGCCAGATCCCCCCGCACGTCGCTGCAGGCTCTGCCACCGCTTCTCCGCAACACCGGCCTCTCCCCCCAAAAAACGAGGGGTGTATGTTTGGTTTTTTTTTTTTTTTTTTGGGGTGGGGGGGTGTTGGCGGGGAGCTCCTGACCAGGCTGCTGGGAGCCCCTGAACCAACAGGAGTGATCCCGGCTGTATCAGGGAGCTGAGATGCCAAATCCCTTTTCAAGGGTTATTTCAGTAGTTTAAAATGTGCAGCGGCTCATCAGAGGCGTGTGGCAGCCCCGGAGCATCGCTCGCTGCCTGACCACGGCGCTGGAGGCTGAGAGGTCGCTGGCTGCAAATAAATAAACTCAAGAATTCGAGGAGGGGGCGAAGGGGGGGGCAGCCCGGGGTGGGGGAATGGAGGCGGGGGGGAGGTGTCTGCACAGCGGGGACCGCTCACCCCACTGGGCTGCACCGGGAGAAAAGCTCGCTGGGAGGAACTGGGAGGGGGTGTCGGTGGGACCCCCGGGGCTGGCCCCTTCCCCCCCCCCCCCCCCCCCCCCCCCCCGCCCCGTTACCTGCGATTTCTCCTGCTGCCCGTCCTCAAGTTGCGAGGCTCCTCCCATGGTTTTCCAGCGCTCCTTCCCCATCGCGCCGCCAACTTCCAGCCCGAGTGCCCAGGCGCACCCCCCCCCACCCCCCCGGACCCCCTTCCCGGCAGCGCAGCCCCCGGCCCGCCCGCGCTCCCCGGCTGGCCGCGGCGGGAGGACGGGCGGCGGCGGCGGCGGCGGAGGAGGAGGAGGAGGAGGGAAGGAGGGAGGGAGGAAGAGGAGGGAGGGAGGACACGGGCACGGACACGGGGGTGGATCTTCCCTTCCCGCCCGCCCCGCTCCCCCCCCGGGGCTCCCCCAGCCCGGCGATGCCCCGGGGATTCTCCCCGATCCCCCCCCCCCCCCCCCCAAGCTCTGCCCTGCGCCCCCCCCCCCCCCCCCCCCGGTCACCCCGGCGGCTCCGGAGCAATTTGGGATCCGAGTCACCTCCCCCCGCTTCCACTTCTGCCTCGGGGGTCGGCAGCCCCGCAGCTGCCCAGATGTGGCAGCACAGCTGGAGGAGCGGCAGCAGGTAAGGCAGGGGTTGGTGCCAGCAGGTCCAGGGGTGTTAAAGGGGGTCGGGGGCAGGTGCTCCGGGGACCCACGTACCCCCCTTTCCAAAGCTACGGTCCTCAGTACAGCACCCCATGCCGATGGGGCTCAGTCCCACCGGTGGGCAGGGTGCTGGGCAGAGTGGGGGCGGGGGGCACTGGCATCTGTCCCCTCAAACCTTTATGCCCAAGGGTAGCCAAAATGCTGGAGGCCTGTTAGCCGAAGCCAGTGCACAGTGCAAAGCTGGGGGGAGGCAGTGGCTGAGCCCCGCAGCACACAGGGTCACACCAATGCCCACAGGAGCATCACTCGCCCAAAACCCAGCGTTCCCAGCCCAAAGCAGCGGTGCTGGCCCTGCGTGCCACCAGCTCCCACGCAGGAGTCGCTCCCCGGCCTGATTTACTGCCACCTCTCCGGGCACGGATGTGGTTTTCTTTACCGTACCTTTGCGGCACCTCCCTTAAATCTTTTATTTGCCGCTTGTCTGACCTGCAGGCAGGAGCGTTGCTAAGAGGTTCAGAGGAGAATCGTGAGAGCAGCGTTAATCCAGCTGGGGGGAAGCTGAGTCCTCTCTCACTGTCAAGAAGCCCCCAGAAAACCTCCTGGGGGTGGGCCTGCAGCCCCCCTGCTCTCTCCCCCTCCAGCAGCACAAAGCTGTCCCCCCCGGGCAGGGCAGCACAACAGGGCTGGAGGTTTGCTCCAACCCCCCCCCGCCCCCTCCCCGGGGCCCTGCTCCCGGGGCTCACCCCCAGTTGGGACCCCCCCAGCAGGTCCTGTGTGGCTTTGCTGGGGTGGGGGCTGTGGCAGCAGACAGGGCGGAGGGGTGGTGGGTCGTGTGTGCTGGGGGCCAGGGGGCCAAGCGGCTTCTCTCCAGGACACGCACCCTATTTTGGGAAGAGTTGGGTGCGTGCCGGGCCAGCAAAGGGCTCTCTGGGGTGGGGAGGGAAGCCCAGCCGGGGGGTCGAGGAGTCGGTACCCGTGGGTGTGTGCTGTCTCCCAGCCAGGTGCAAATCCTGCCTTTGGCTGCCGTGGTGTTGTGTGGATTTAGCGGGCGATGCTCATGGCCGGCAGCCCAGCACCTTCCTCACGGAAGGTTTTCAAGGACTTCCCTTAACAGCTGAGACCGCCCAACTCATTCCACCAGTGGGGTGTCTGGCGTGCCTGCACCAGCCGGGCTCAGCCCCTGTACTGCTCAGCCGTTCTGGAAGCAGGAGGCCGCGGGTGCCTGGGAGGCTGTTTTAGCTGAACTCCAAACAATAAAAACTTATCATTAAAAAGAAATGTATCTTGGCTTCCTGTGGCCTGGCAGCGCGGGGAGGAGTGATTCAGTGGCTTGTCAACCCTGGGTGTTAGGCACGCCGAGCTGCACAACTGGACACTCTCCAAGTCCAGCAACTCATTTTCTGCAGATGGAGCCGGGACCGTGCAGTGGGCTGATGTTTAATTTGCAATCCAACATACCTTGACATAACCCACAGACGAATCGCAGAGGCTGGCGTGGGCTGGGATGCTTCGGAGCCTGCTTGGGCAGGGGTGTGCGAGTGGGGCTGGGATGCTCCCTGACACCGGGGTGCCCGCAAGGGTGTGGGTGCAAGGCCCAGCTTGGCAGGTGCCAGTGCCATTCCCGGTGGGCAGGCTGGTGGGTGGCTCTCCAAATCGTGGTGATGTGGAGGTGAGACCAAGGGTGCCTGCCTGGAGGAGGGGGCCGTGTTTCTGGGAGCCTGAGCGATGCTCAGGGTGAGCCCCCCCCACGCACGCTGCTCAGACGGGCCAGGGGCCGCCGGGGATGCTGGCTTGGCCCATCAGTGACTCACATGGAGCCGTGTCACCTCGTGTTACCCGTCATGGGGTCTGGCTGTAGTTGAAGAGCCGGGAACATGGGAAGTGGCATCACCGGCTGGCTGAGCCCCACGGCTCGCACCCTGCCACCCCCGGCAGCCCCACAGCCCCAGATCCAGCCCCACGGGCCGTGCCAGGTGGGATTGGGTGCTCAGGGGGCACCCAAGGACTTGGGCACGTGCCATAGCCGGGCACCATTGGGCACGGGCATCCCCCCGGGGGGGCTGACAGCAGCTTGGCTGGGTGGCAAGGGGGTCTCTGCCAGCAGCCCAGGCCAGATCGATAGGCAGACAGAGGGGATGATTCATGTCTGTGGCCCGAGGGCAAAAACGGGAGAGAGGTTTGATGTGAGGATGCCGGCAGGCTGCTGCGGCTGCGGTTCTGTAGGGAGCTGGCGTTTCCCCTCCCCAAGCTGGCTCTGCCCACACTGCCCAGGGGTCCCGGCATGGCCTGGGGGCAGAAAACAACTGAAGCAACATGGGATCGGACACATGCACTAAAATTAGTCATGTAAAAAAAAAAAATTTCAGACAGTATCTTCTATTTTTTGGTCCAAGGCGGTGAGCAGCAGTGGCGATGGGCAAGGGCTGGGCTTGGGGCGGCTCCGTGCCCCCCGAGGGGATGGGACCCTCTGGGGAGCAGGACACCACGAGGCAGGGCTTAGTGGCAATTTGGCAATTTACCCCCCTCATTGCGTTCAGCCAGCACTTAGTTTGCATCCCCAGGATATCACGGGGCCCGAGCTGGTGAGAAAACCAATGTCCCACGGGTCCAATCCAGCGAGGGGCTGTGTGGGGCAGAACCACTCCGTTATTTACCGTCCGAGACACGGAGCGGGGATGGGGATGGGGGAAAGGCAGCCGGGGAAGGACTCGTGTGCGCTTTTCTTGGCAGGGTGCCACTGGAGGCAGAGAGCCGTCGCTGCGCACACACGGCGTCAAGACATCATCATCATATTAATAATGAAAGGGCAGCTCCTTCAAAGCTCTTCGCCCCTGCGCTGGCGAGAGCGCAAAATGCAGAGGAGATGCGTGAGCCTCATCTCAAGCAGCTGTGGGGAGAAGGCTGCGATGCCTGGCCGGCCGGTCCTCCACCGGCCCGCTGACCTGGTGTGACAAAAACGTGCCACGTCCCCCCCGGTCACTCTCCCCGCTGTGAGTTTGGCTGCCCGGAGGGGTCCCTGCATGGGAACGGGGCAGCCTGCAGTGTCCCCCAGTTCCTGTCCCCGTCACTGCTCTGTGCAGACCCCCCCTGTTCCCCAGGCTGGTGGGGAAAGGCCATTTCGGCTGCTGGGGAGAGAGCTGCTCTTGCAAGGGCAGAGCATTCTGGCCATCAGTTAGTGACACCGATCACTGTGCCAGGGCCTTTTCTTTGGAATCGATAGCTCAGACAATGAGACCAACCACCTGCAAATAGATCTTGGGCTTCAGCCAAACGTGGGTGCCTGGCAGCAGTTCCTGGGGCATCTCCCGCTCATTCCTGTGCAACACCTTTGGGTTTCCAAAAAAACCCCCAAACCTTCTTTAATGCTCCTCCCCTTTTGCCTATAACATCCCTGAATCTGGTCGCTCTTTGTGAGGGTCTCAGCAGGACCAGACCAGGGGCTGAGCAGTTTTTCACCTATTTTTCTTTCTGCCAAACCCCCTCCTCCACCGTTTGCCCCTCTCAGGTGGCCGGAGCCAGGAGGGTTTTGCTGTGGATGCCCCGATCAGGGGAGGAAGGAGTCAAACCCCCTGTGCTGGGTGGAGGTGGAGCACCCCACACCCACTCATGCCCACCCTTTGCCCAACCCATGGCCGTGTGTTCTCCCTGGCACCCCATGTATTTTGGGGGGTCCCACCCCACAGTGGTGCCCCGGGGCTGGGCGGGAGCCTGCTGTGCCTCCCTCAGCCCTTCCTGCCCAGCCCTTTCTCAGGCTTTTTTATTTTTACTCCCTCCAAACACAAAACCCCCAAGTCCTCCACAACTGAGAAACCTCTTTTTATTCCTCTTTTCCCTTTGCTTTCTGCCGCGGCAGAGTATTGATTGGAGTTGATGCGCTGTAATCCGCTGTTTCTGTGAAAAGTTGGCATCCCAGAGTCCCTGGAGGGGACAGATCCTGCCTCCACATGGATCTTGCTCCTCTGCCAGGCTCAGGGCGCAGCGGGAAGGAAGCATCCCATCCCATCCCATCCCATCCCATCCCATCCCATCCCATCCCATCCCATCCCATCCCACTCCTGCAAAGTCAGGAGCTAAATGCTTGGGGAGGGTGATAATGCGAGCACCTGCTGGGTGGGAAAAGTCTCTGGTTTGGAGCAGAGCCAGGTTGGATCCTGCTGGGATGGATGTCCAGAGTGCCAGGCATCCGAGGGAGCCCCCCTGCCTCGCCGGTGGGGCAGGGGACGGTGGCACAGGGGGACATTGGCATGGGGGGACGTCGGAGCTGGTGAGAGGGGCTGGGTGTGGGGCTCGGTGGGGGATTCTGCAGAGGGGAGCAATTCAGCTTCCCAGCAGCCAAGGAGGGCTGCAGAGAGCAGGGCCTGGCCCCCACCTGAAAGGGGCTCATGATGGGGTGCAATGCCACCTCTGTGGGGCAGGACCCCAGCCGGAGACTCTTGCCAAGCCCTGCTCTGTGCCTGCAGCCCCCCTGCACCCTCCTGCCCCGCTCTACCACGCTGCTGCTCCATCTATACTTAATGATGGTGAATGGGCCAGAGCTCCAG